GGCCAGCGCGTGGGCCCTTGTCCCTCTTGAGCGAGGCGGAGAGAAGCGGGGAGGGAGGGAGTGGCTGTGGCGACCAGGGTGATGATGATGATGATGATGATGATGATGATGATGATGATGATGATGATGATGATGATGATCGTTGATTGTGGTGATGATCGTTGATGGTGATGATTGGTGATGGTGATGATCGGTGCTGGTGGTGATCGGTGATGATGATGGTGGTGGTGGTGATGTTGGCGATGATAATGATGATGACGATGATGTTGGTGATGATCATGGTGGTGATGGTGGTGACGATGATGTTGATGATGATAATGCTGATGATGCTGATTATGATGATGATGATGATGAGGATGAGGATCAGGATGATGATGATGATGATGATGATGATGATGATGATGAGGATGAGGATGAGGATGAGGATGAGGATGAGGATGAGGATGAGTATGATGATGATGATGATGATGATGATGATGATGATGATGATGATGATGATGATGATGATGATGATGATGATGATGATGATGATGATGATGATGATGATGATGATGATGATGATGATAATGATCATGATGATGATGAATGAGAGGAGGGATCGTGTGGTGGTGATAGTGGATGACGATGATGACCATGGACTTGGCCTTGTTATCCTCCCCTCCCTCTATCTCCTAGCTCCACTCTCGCCCTCTCTCGCCCTCATCCGCCCTTCCCCACCGCCCCTCCTCCCCTACCCCCTTTCCCCTTGTCTCCTCCCCGCCTTTTCCGGCCACATATCGACAAAACAAACCGATATCGTTCCCGTCCTTTATCCCTATTGGGTCCCCCCTCGTTGGTAGTAGTCCTCGGTCCTACGGCTTGAATGTATTTTTTTGACTTCGAAGATTTTGGTCAGAACGCATCTTTGGAGAGGCTCCGGGAGCCGTGTTTTTCCCACGGAAATGGCCTGAGCCCAGGGTTCTTTTAGTTGGGTCCCCCCGGTTTCGACGGCTGTAGGGCCGGCGAAATTATTCTGCGATAAATGACGTGCGGGAGTAGGGCCGGCGGAATTATGTTTGAGGATGTCCCTAGCGAAACGCTTGTTTTTCAGTTTTTGTTTGAGGATGTCTCGAGCGAAACGCTGGTTTTGCAGAGTTGGGGATGTCTCGAGCGAAACGCTTGTTTTTTGTGTTTATAGATGTCCTTCCTGGGACCAGAATTCAAGGATCTCTGCATTGGATTGCTTGTTTCACGTGCCGCAGGTCTTGAGGATGTCTCTACGAGACGCTTGGTTTCACGCCCCTTGGCCCAAGACCAGATGTCCGAAGAGATAGCATGCGGATTCGTTGAGGATGTATCGAACGAGAGCTTGTTTTTACACGTGTCCAGGTCGCCCCGCGGATGTCTAGCAGACCTATTGTTGAGGATGTCTCGAGCGGAGAGCTGTTTGGCACGTGTCCAGGTGCCCCAGGCGGATGTCTAGCATGAGGATGTGCTGGCACACGTCTTGAGCGAAACGCGTGTTTTCACGTGTCCAGGTCGACCAGGCACAGCACAGCCTTCGGCACGGTACATCAATATCGATACACTTAGCATTGCAGCCTGGCACGTTGCCTGGCACGTTCCGCGGAGCGTCCCGTGGCGAGTCCCCCTGGCACGTCGCGCGGTGCACGTCCATTGGCTCGTTCCGTAGCGCGTCCCCTTGGCACGTCCCGCGGTGCGTGCCCATGGCACGTCCCTTGGCACGTCGCCTGGCGCGTCCCTTGGGACGTTCCGCGGCGCGTCCTCCTGGCATGTTCCCTCTGTCGATCAGTTCTGGGGCAGCTACCATCTGCTCAGGCAGCTCGAGCTTACGATCCAGGTCAGTTCGGTGAGGACTCGGATGCCAGGGAGGACTCGATCCACAACGCTATATAGAGCACAATCGCGGCATGGCACATCGCAGTTCAGCACGGCCCAGCACAGCACAGCACAGCCGTCGGCACGGTACATCAAGATCGATACACTCAACTATGCATCTTGGCACGTTCCTTGGCGGGTTCCGTGGCGAGTCCACCTGGCACGTCGCGCGGCGCGTCCCCTGGCACGTCCCTCGGCACGTCCATTGGCACGTTCCGTAGCGCGCCCCCTTGGCACGTCCCGCGGTGCGTGCCCATGGCACGTCCCCTGGCACGTCGCCTGGCGCGTCCTTGGGACGTTCCGCGGCGCGTCCTCCTGGCATGTTCCCTCTGTCGATTAGTTCTGGGGCAGCTACCATCTGCTCAGGCAGCTCGAGCTTACGCTCCAGATCAGTTCGGTGAGGACTCGGATGCCAGGGAGGACTCGATCCACAACGCTATATAGAGCACAATCGCGGCATGGCACATCGCAGTTCAGCACGGCCCAGCACAGCACAGCCCTCGGCACAGTACATCATCATCGATACATTCAGCATTGCATGTGCCCGTCGCCCAATCAGGTGTCTTTGAAATGTTGCAATGCCTTACATTTCTATATTCCTTTCCGGGTTCGTGGGTCGATCATGTTTGCTCAGAATTTCGATCCCTTCGCCTGCGTACTCCTGGAGAGGGCCAGAAATGCTTTGACGAGAGCGTGATGCCTTGAGGTTGGATTTCTTCTTTCAGCGGGCCGAGTTCCTGAGCAGACTATCTGAAAGGCTGCGTCCTCTGCCGCCAGCTCCCTAGGAAACGCCTTGTGGTTTTCTTGTCTCATGGTTGGTCTATATTGGAGCCTGTTCGTGGCATCGTCGGGCTTCGGCCTCTTCGGGCCACATGTGCTGTGATTGCCATGTCACCTACTACACTCCACCTAGAGGCCTACTCGCGGCGCTATCTTTATTGTGAAGGGCTTGCGGCCGGCGCCGCCGACCCTGAAGGGGGAGCCGGAGGCGTGTGGGAGGCGAGGAATCGGAGGGGAGAGTTTCTCCCAGGGAGGGGTGCTCCCCCACGGGCGCGGTGAGGTCACAACCCATTACCCCCCCCCCCCCCCCTGGGACCCCCCCCCGGGACCCCCCCAGGGACAAACCGCCGGGACCCTCCATGGGACAGCCCCCCCCCACAGGCAGGGAAGGGATCAAAGGGAAGGGGTGTTCATTTCGACTCAATTACGATGCTGCTGGATTTCCTTGGCTGGGACGATTGACGATTTAGGGCCTATGGACAGTGACAGGGGGGAGCGGTGCCAGCGATAACGACGACGACGACGACGACGACGACGACGACGACGACGACGACGACGACGACGACGACGACGACGACGACGACGACGACTCAAACGAAAATTCCTTTCACACACTCCAGCAGGGTCGGTCGATTGCGAAGGCCGTACGGCCGGTGCCGCCGACCCTGCAGACGACAAGCAGGACAAGGACGTTGAGGAGCAGGAGACGGATGACGTCAGGGAGCTGGAGGGGGGAGGAGGAGGAGGAGGAGGAGGAGGAGGAGGAGGAGAGGGGCGGAGGAGGGCGAGAGAGAATGGACGGATGGAAACAGGCGATGCTGAAAGGAGGAGGAGGAGGAGGAAGAGGAGGAGGAGGAGGAGGAGAGGGGGGAAATGAATAGGAGCAGGACGAGGCGAGCAGGGCCTGGGGCCTGGGAGTCCTGGACTTTGGGGGGGCTGGTTCCTGGTGCCGGGTCCTGGGAGGAGGTCCTCGGGGCTGGGTCCTGGAGGGTCCCGGGGACCTTGGAATTCTTGGTCCTGGGGTGTCCCGTGGCCGAGCGTCCAGGAGGCCGGTTCGCTTCTGGAGGGGGGCGGAGGAAACAGGTGAGATGAGGATGGAGACGATGACGATGAGGATGATGTTGATAATCACGATGATGATGATGACGATGATGATGATGACACGGTTTGTTGCGTGATTTCGTATGTTCCATAGTCGTCGAGTCCGCCTGACCAGGCTGCGCCGCTGAAAGATGTGGCCTTTGCTGTCGATGGTGCTCCACGTTTCGGTATTGCCGCAGCATGCCAGAGAACGATGGCGCGTGTCCTCTTTAGGACACCGCACTGCGTACCACCGCTTCGGAGCCATGCGTGCGCCAGCGGGCGGGTTTGACGTGAGCGCTTAGAAGATGATGATCCCACCTCCGAGGAGGGACGCTCAGACCCACTCGCGCGTCGACGACCTGGAAGACCTCCGCGATCAGTCTCTCGAAGAAGAAAGTTTCCAGCGGGCCCCGCTTGAAGAGACCCTTTTGCGAACACCCCCGCGAGAAATGTCTCTACGATCAACCGCATGAACACGACCACCACGGGCACCTGCGCGAAGACGATCACAACGACCGCCCACGCGACGAAGGCCTCCACGAACATTTGCATGAATAGTACCTCCACGAACACCATCGCGAGATGACATCCGCGAACGCTCCTTCGAAGAAAGCATCCACGAGCACCCGCACGAGGAAGACACCGGTTGCGTCCGCGCGAAGAATCCCTGCATGACCTCCAGCGCTATGAAGAATACCTGCGTAAACACCCACGAATAATGCCCCAACGGGCGCCCGCTTGGAAAGGCCCACGAGCACCCGCCCGACGAACACCTTCGCGAGTACACCCGTGAAGAAGGCTTCGAACGGTTGCCCGCACTGCGAAGACCCTCGCGAGCACCCACATGAGGAAGACTTCCGCCAGCGCTCGCGCGAAGAAGGCATCCACGAATACCAGCTTGATAAAGACCTCCACGTGCACCCACGCGAAGAATGCCTTCACGAACATTCCCACGAATGCAGCCCCACTGGCGGCCAGGTCCACGAGCGCCCTCCCGACGAAGACCTCCGCGAGCACCTTCTTGAAGGAGGTCTCAACGAATGCCCGCGCGGAGAAGACCCTCATGAGCACCCGCGCAAGGAAGACTTCCGCCAGCACCCGTGCGAAGCACGTGCCGTAACGGCGGCGGCGCGGCGGGAACAGCGCCGCCGCGGCGCCCCGGGCGCCGCGGCTTCGCGGGACGCCGCGGCGGTGTCGACTCCACGAGTGCCAGCGCGATGAAGACCTCCACGGACACCTGCGCGAAGAAAACATCCGCGAACAATGCCGCGAAGACAGCCCCCACCGGCGCTCGCGCGGAGAAGACCGCGAGCGCCCCTGCGATGAAGGCCTCCGCGATCATCCAAGAAGAATGATACCCTTGGGAGGAAGACTACCGCCAGCACCCACGCGAGGAAAGCCTCCGCGAACACCGGACCGCTGAAAACCTCCACGAGCACCCTCACGGAGAAGGCATCCCCGAGTGCGAGCGCCGCGACGCCGAGGATGAGCCCGAATGCGCCGTAGAGCCTAACGTAGCAGTCGCACCGGAAGCTGGTGATGCAACGCGAATGCAGAAATGACCGAACGCAACGTGCCTGCGAGGTAGCTTCTCCACCCAATAGCCACCAACCACACAAAAATAATGCAGGAGAACAGAAAGGGGTAGACGGAGACTGGAACCACGAACGCGACTCGTAGAACAGATTTGGACGCAACCCACAGCCTTCCGAGCCGCGGGCCACGGGCTGGCGACAGGGAGCAGAATACCAGGCTTAAGCCGGGCCTGTCCCTCTGCAGGGGGAATGTTAATTCTTTCTATCGTTTGGGGACGTTTTTTTTGTTGTTTGAATATCTTTGGGGTCTTTTCTCTTTTTCGTCCAGAATCCGCCTGCAGGGGGACATGCCCGACCTAATACTAGGCGCCTGCACTCCCCGACGAACAGCCTAGATTCCAGATGGCGTAAACACTCGGTTCGGTGACCCGTCCGTCCGCACCCGCCAACGGTTCGCCCGTGGAAGACGTATAAGAAGAGGAACAATAATGGCCACAGGGCCCGACCTCCGCCGTTCCCGCTGTCCCAAAGTATCGGAATAACGAGGGGTGGCGATATGATTTGTTGTGCCACTGCGTATTTGCCACAGTCCGTCGACTCCGCCTGACCAGGCTTCGCCGCTGAAAGATGTTGCTGCTGGTGCTGTTGATGGTGCTCCACGTTTCGGCACTGCCGCAGCATGCCAGGGAGCGATGGCGCGCGTCGTCTTCAGGACCCCGCGCTGCGCAGCACCGCTCTGGAACCATGCGTCCGCCATCGGGCGGGGCCGACGCGAGCGCCTAGAAGCTGATGATGATGATGGTGGTGGTGGTGGTGGCGGTGATGATGGTGATAGCGAGGGTGAGGGTGATGGTGATGGTGGTGATGATGATGACGATGATGGTGATGGTGATGGTGATGGTGATGGTGATGATGATGATGATGATGATGGTGATGCTGATGCTGATGATGATGATGATGGTGATGGTGATGGTGATGCAGATGGTGATGATGATGATGATGATGATGATGCTGATGCTGATGCTGATGCTGATGCTGATGCTGATGATGATGATGATGATGATGATGATGATGATGATGATGATGATGATGATGATGATGATGATGATGATGATGATGATGATGGCCAGGCGACAGAGACAGCAATGGCGACGGCGACGCCGACGGCAACGGCGACGACAACGACGGCGGCGACGGTGAAAAGGTTTCGCGCAGTGTGCGGCGGGCGGGTGGGCGGCGGCGCGCGCCGGGCCCGGCGCAGGCGCTGCAGCGGGTGGGCCGGGGCCTCGAAGTGGACGTGATGCGGCACAGGGTCCGGCTCGCGATGGCCCCAGCGCAGGCGGGTGGACGGCGTCGTCGTCGTCGTCGCCGCCGTTGTCGTTTCGAGCTTCGGGGTTCGAGGTTTGTACTTTTGTGGCCCCGCGTGGCCCTCGGGGAGGCTCTTTGTCGCCACGGCTGGATTCCTGTCGACGTCCTGGCCGAAAATGCCCCCCCCCGACAGGTCCGGTTTGGGAGGGAGCATCGGGGTGACGGTTGGCGCCCACGCAAGCGGCGGGCGGCTTCTGCGGGTGTATCGGTGGCAGCGGAGGTATCCACGGCGACGTTATTGACGGCGGCATCGGCGGGACCTCAGCAGGGGCAAAAGTACCCATACCGTTACCCGTCCGTCGATCTCGCCTTGTGGGGGCCTTCTGGACGGCCCCCGTCGCCACGCCTGGGTTTGCCGCAGAATCTTGGTCAGAGCGCGCCCCAGGAAAAGTTCGGGGAACAGCGGTGTCAGCAATTTTTTGTTTCCCCAGGACCCCCATCGTGGGGGTGGTTCAAGGGTGTCGACACGGGGTGTCGACAAGGGGGTGGTTCAGGGGTGAACGTCGACTTCCGATCGCCCACTCATCGCCGATCAGGGTCAGGCTGCCCCAATCCTCGCAGGAACGTGCGGTTCCGATGTCGAGGGCCTACCGCCGATCTATCGGCGATGCGTCGCAGTTCCGGGTCAATATCCTCCCCCCGAGCCAGTCCCCCCCCCTTTCGCCCCACCTCCCCACCCTCAGTGGTGCGGTGCGGTGTGCGGCTCGCGCTGGCGCCGGCGCGCACGCAGGCGGCAGACGATGCCGACGATGGCGTCGACGGCGACGTCGGTGGGCGGCGCGCAGGGTGGGGTGTGGCGAGGGCGGCGGCCCTGTCGAAGAGGCGCCCCACCCTCCCAGGAGCCCCTCTGCCCTCCTGGGGGCCCTCTCGGTTTGGGAGGCCGTCGGGGATTCATGAAGCGGCGGGATTGCTCCGGGAGGCCCCTCGCCTGCGTGGAAGGCCGCCGCCCCCGCCGCGCCGCCGAGACACCATGCAGCGAAGCGAGGCGCAATGTCCTCGCCTCGGCCGGAGCAGTCCTCCTGCGGCGACGCCTGCGTGCCGCTGCCGGTTCCAGAGCGAGTCGTGAGGATGTCTCGGGCGATGCCTACGCTGTGCACTTCCAAGCGGACGTGCGAGGCAGCATTGGCGAGCCGAGCGCAAACTGGTCGACACCTGAAACTGGAAGGCTGCCTCGGCATACTGTCGGGGGAGCGTAAGACCCGGGTTTGCCGGGACTCGGGTTCGCCATCGTTTTTTGACGACCGCGCCTCGGATTTTGACGAGGAGGAGTTTCGCGGGATGTCTGCAGCGGGAGGCCTCGTCAAAATGCAGGCTCGGCCTCGTCATTTTTCCCGGAAAGGGCTCCGGCCCAGGGTTCTCTTTTAGTAGGTAAACCTGTCCCCCGGTGCCAACTTGAAGGAGGCCGGCGGATTTTTTCCCTGATAAATATCGAGGTCGAAGGAGGCCGGCGGATTAAAATTTGAGGATGTCTCGAGCGAAACGCTTGTTCCCGGAAAGGGCAAGAGCCCAGGGTTCTCTTTGTACTAGGTAAACCAGTCCCCCGGTGCCTGCTTGAAGGAGGCCGGCGAATTTTTTCCCTGATAAATAACGAGCCGGCGAATTGCCGGCGAATTTTTTCCCTGATAAATAACGAGCCGGCGAATTGCCGGCGAATTTTTTCCATGATAAATAACGAGCCGGCGAATTAAAATTTGAGGATGTCTCGAGCGAAACGCTTGTTTCCCAGCACGGCGAATTGAAATTTTGAGGATGTCTCCGAGCGAAAAAACGCTTGTTTTTGAAATCCGACTTCAACCACACCCCAGCACGACCACGCCCAGCACGACCACGCCCCAGCACGACCACACCCCAGCACGACCACACCCAAGCACGACCACACCCCACCGACCAGCCTCATCACGTACCACGCCCCAGCACGACCTACCCAGCAAGACCACACCCCATCACGACCACACCCACACGACCTCACCCGCACGCACCACAACCACCATCACGAACCACCGCCCCAGCACGACCACGCCCCAGCACGACCACCCCCCCGCACTACCAACCCCAGCACGACCAACCCAGCACGACCAACCCCAGCACGAACCACCCCTAGCAATGACCACACCCCAGCACTACCCACAGAGAGAGAGAAAGAAAACAGCACCCCCCTCACCACAGCACGACCACACCCCAGCACGACCACGCCCCAGCACGACCACGCCCCAGCACGACCACGCCCCCGCACAACCACCCCCCAGCACGACCACCCCCCCAGCACGACCACACCCCAGCACGACCACCCCCCAGCACGACCACACCCCAGCACGACCACTCCCCAGCACGACCACACCGCCTTGTTGAGTGGTTGCCTGTCGTCGTGGAATGTTTCGTGGGGTGTCTCGTGGAATGTTTCGCGGGGTGTCTCGTGGAATGTTTCGAGAGGTGTCTCGCGGAATGTTTCGTGAGGTGTCTCGTGGGATGTTTCGTGAGGTGTCTCGTGGGATGTTTCGTGAGGTGTCGCCCCGTTGGGTATCGTGAAAACGTGCCCATGCTCCACATGTCTATATCCCTTTCCGGGTTCGTGGGTCCATCATGTTTTTGAAATCCCGATCGATAAATCACAGGGTGCGGGCCACTTTTTCCCGGAAAGGGCATGAGCCCAGGGTTCTCTTTTAGTTGGTAAACCTAATCCCCCGGTGCCTGCTTGAGGGAGGCCGGCGAATTTTTTCCCTGATAAATAACGAGGTCGAAGGAGGCCGGCGAATTAAAATTTGAGGATGTCTCGAGCGAAACGCTTGTTTTTCAGAATTTCTTGAGGATGTCTCGAGCGAAACGCTGGTTTTGCAGAGTTGGGGATGTCTCGAGCGAAACGCTTGGTTTCAGAGTTTGTTGAGGATGTCTCGAGCGACGCGCTGGTTTTGCAGAGCCGACCGCGACGCGGAAAAGCGCCCCGCGCGCAGGAATTTCGATGATGTCTCGACTAATTCGTTTGTTTTTTGTACGATTCCCTGGAATTTTGGCAGGGTGTCTCGAGCGAAATGCACGACCCCACCCTAGCACGACCATACCCCAGCACGACCACACCCCAGCACGACCAGACCCCAGCACGACCCCACCCCAGCACGACCCCACCCCAGCACGACCCTACCCCAGCACGACCACACCCCAGCACGACCCGACCCCAGCACGACCCTACCCCAGCAAGACCACACCCCAGCACGACCACACC